AGATAGGATAGATAACAACCGTGTCTCTACTTTACCATAACAGCAATATTTGTACTGCTTGTCTCTGTGTAAAATACAATGCACTTTATTAATCCCAGATTGGAAAAATCGCTTGATCTGTACGAATGTCACAACATTGGCTTGTGAATGGCCCAACATTTCAAGGAAAAAGGCAAATAGAGTTTCTCTCCACGCTTAATTTCCTTAAGGCATCGGGGGCCATCCGTCCCCTGGTTTCCACGGTGATAGCCACCTCCTCTGAGGACTATCTGGACCACTCTTTGGAGAGGAGCAAGTACCGGGCCAGCGAGATGCCCCAGGGGTTCCTCTACCATGTCATCTATCAGGCCTATCAGAAGGTAGGAGATCCCTCCATGAACAAAAACAGTTCAGAACATGTAGAATGGTGAGTGCATCAAACCAAAAGGTTTGGTGTACATTGTTGAACAAATGAACAACATAAAAAAATGATATCATATGTTGTGTGTTGGCACCTTGTTCTTTTATTATCAGCGCTGGCAAAACCGACTGCATCTACCCTAGAAAATGGCTGTTATCTGCTTTGATTGGCAGCGAGGGACTTCAGGGCGCTATCTGCGTCCATAACTGTTTCTAATACCAATCACATGGTGACCAGAGAGAGTAACAGATACAAGATACAAACAAACAGTGACATGAGAATGAAAAGAAAGAACAATGCAAACTATGCTGCTCTCAGCAGCCACATTATTGGACCAATGCGTCTTTGTTGTCACAACTGTATTGAATGCTACCCTGTGACCCTGTTGGGGAAATGGTAGACATGGTAGTACAGATGTTGACTAGGGTTCACCGGGAGGTTTTTGTGAAACTAACTTCACTTACAAGACTAGTTAACGGTTCTCGTGTGTAGCCAATCTAAGATGACAGAAACCTGAAAGATTTGTTTTTGCCCTTTTTAATAGTACAAGTTATAACCACTGGCTGGCAATAACACATAAATAAAGATGTTACGCATTTTTCCAAGAATACAACACAAACACAAATGGGTTTTATGATCAGGTTGATTGCTGAAAGGAAGTCTTTAACAAGTGGTACTTTAATAGGCAGAACAGAAAAGGTCAAGATTTTTGAAGAGTTTTGTCTTTCTGAAAAATTAATTCTGAAGAATGAAGCAACAGAGAGCATCATGCTAATTAGGCTAATTGGAATGTATCTTGTTGATCCAGTAAGCATTTGCAAACAAGGTTGTTTGTTGTCTCTATACCTAAATGCTATAATACCTTAATACTGACGGGCAATTCAAGTCAAAACCCATCCACCAAATACTTGAAAAATATCTTGAATCCCAAATGTGCTTTTTGAATAAAAACCTTTTGATACAGATTTATGTTTGGAAAGTTATGCTGCATCCCACTGCCTCTTTATGACAAAGAACTTTATGACATGAAGTTCCCATTCGTTTCGGTGGGTCTTATACAGATCATAATTTCTGACCAGATGTGCCATTGCACGGTCTGAGGTCTATCCTTACCACAGTGCCTCAAAACAAGACACAATCATACACACACAGGTGCAGGAGTTGGGACCACAGAACAAAAGCATTGAAGGCAACGGTAGCAGAATAGCACAGTAACACAACCGTGATGTAGCATGGCTAATGTGTCTGTATTTGTTATATTGAGCCTGACGGGTTGGACATTCATGCCTGAAGAATGGAAAAGTCTTTGCAGTTAACATTTAAACTGGAAGCGAGTGGATCGTGAACCCCCACTTATTTCACCGACGATCCAACGCCTTGGTATTTCAACCTTGAGTCCTGCAGACTGGCTCCCTTAAGCTAGAAGTGGTGCTTTGGTGGGAGGGGTGGGGTGGGGGCGGGGGGGAGTATCAGCAGCCTTGAGCTAAGAGCTAAAGTATGCCCCCAATTGGCGCCCCATTTGTCTGCAGTATTTTTTCCACCTATGGAACACAAGGATTTCAAATTGCTTTGGAATCCTGTTGATTTTGGCTTCGCCGCATGTTGCAAGAGCAAGCTCGATTTCACTGGGCGCTGTCGGGCTGGTCAGGTTGTGAAAATTAAGACAAATTGGTGGAACTTGAGTGGTGGTGGTGATGAAGGGGGTTGTGCTGGTAGGTTAGGGTGGTGGTGGCAGTGGCGGCGGGCGGCGGCAACAGTTAAAGACGGTGTGAATAGGTGGAGAGATTGTGAAGCACCTCTCGCTGATTTTCTCTCCTTGTTCGTCCTGCTCTCCAGTCAGTCAAAGAATGTGTCACGGCTCTGTCGGGTTAGCACTGTAGGACATGTTGATGCAATCATCCCTCAGTGCACTCGTGCATTAGCGGCTTGCAGAACTCAGGGCTGAAAAGACAATAGGGAGGAGATACTTTATCCTGTCCCCAGCGAGGGGCTCTGTACTGGGAGAAAACACAAAATGCTAAATTACTACAGGACCACAACCACATTTCTTAGTTCCAGGGACCCAGAGAGAAGAAAAGACCCCTGTCTTTTATAGCTTGATAAAACATTGTCCTGGTGTAATCTCAGAAAGCCTTTGTAATGTTGTGCATGCATCGCATACCGGATGAGCTCATGGCCTCGATCCAGACGGCCATGCGATGTACAGCGACCACTGACTTCTGCCCACCAGTGAGGCCTGTGTCGGAGCTTTCCCAGCGATCACCATTTTCAGCGTGTAGGTTGCTAGCTCGGTGGTTGTTGTTATTTCACGTAGCGACAGAGACTATGAACAGTAACATGCAGATAACGGAAGGGGAGGCGAATGCTGACTGAAATAGTCGTCCAATGGCAGGCTTATACAACAACCTACATCTAGCGAGTCAGACAAGTAACATAGCCCAACTTGTGTCTCCTGTCTCCTCAGTGCAGCGAGGTCGACTTTGATTTTGGCACAGAGTGTCTCCAGCTGGCTCTGCAGCACACTGGCACGCAGGCCAAGCTCATCGAGGGCCCGCCAACACTGTGGAAGGTGAGCTCGCCACACCATGGGGCCCCGCTGGGGGACAGTGGATCCGGTCACTCTGTGCCAGGCCAGCTGGGTGCTGCGCATCAGTTGTTTATCGATAAGAATCAAAGAAATGACTTGCATATCAACGGTAATGAATGATGAGGAGAAAGAGAGAATCCCTGGGGGTGATGGAGCTGTGGCTGGATTGGTTTTATTCTTCAAACATAATTGTGTAAATACTTTTGAACAAAAGTGATGGCTGCATTGAAAAGCTCTAAATAATTCTGAACAAAAATGATGAATGCAGTGAAAATTGATCAAAATGCAGGTCTAAGGTTGCAAATTAACTACAATTTCAATGTTTAAAGTAACATTCCTGTCAATAAACCATGTCTTAAAAACCCAGCCTCCCATTTTAAATTGAATATATTGTTGTAATAACCCATTTCTGCCTGTAGCAGCAGCGCCAGGAAATGTTGCTGTACTACTAGCTATTACTGTAACAAAGTAGATCTCTACCCTCCAGGTGACCTACAAGAGAGACCTGGCGGCTGCAGAGTCCATCATTAAAGGTACGCTCTCTCCTTTATTTTCATGTACCCTGGCTCTTATACACCTACTTCTGCAATACATCCTACTTCTACAATACATCCACTTCTAGACAGCACTCAAACTACTTGTGATGGATTGTATACAAAACAACACAGTGCGAGCCTGTATTACACTCCTTTCAATCCAATATTCTTACAGGAGACCTGTGTAAACGTGAGGTGAGTCCAAATTGTGTTTAAATTGGCCCTGAATTCAACAATTTACCTTCCCTGCCCGCATGTGCTGAACCCTTGAGCCAAAGCAGAACATAGGTACTGATGGCTTGTGAACGTTCCCGTTTAGATTCCCTTGACGGTTACAAAATGAACAGGGAAATAATATGGCATGGTGTTTACCATTGTTTACTGTTTACTGCTTAGAAATATTCAGGTAATTTAACACCACTAGAATGGTCTAACTTACACACAATTTCCCCTTAAACCCTACGTACCACCAATGAGAGATGGAATGGAATTAGAGGTAGTTTGGTGATGTAAGGAGTGGCGAGGCTGCTGTAGACATTGCTTTGTCTCTTTGTGAAGCTACAGTAAGCTACGTTTGGATAGACAGCATTTAAGTCAAAATAGTCCTCCATTGTGGTGGTTTCTTTATGGTGTTGTTTAGGTTGCGTCTGCGAAGGCTGCGAAGCGCTACGACAAACAAGCGGGGACTTGCCCTGGACCATCACAATCAGAGAAGTTGAAATAAACAGAGGGCCGCATTTTATACCTCCTCCCAACACCTGCACCAACAATCACCTGGTCCTTGGTGACATCATGTGCAGAACGATTATGACCAGAGCTCTCACTATGAGAATGAATTTATTGTGTTCCTATGGAAAATAACACATGGAAAAGCGCTTCCCACATCCATCAGAGTGGGAATGAGTGTGCCCGTGTGTGTATGTTAATTTTCTCATGTGTCTATTATATTGGGCCTGTCTAAATATACTCTCCTTTAGATCCATTCCACAATTCTGCTCTTCCGTCCTCTTTCAGTTAGTTTATTCAATGTGTCCAAGTACCAGTGAGCATTCCAGGAGTTAGCATTTAGCTCTGGTGCTGTCAAGTCTGATTAGCATTGCTTGGAGGTTAGCTTTCAACCTTGTCTCTCTCTCCCTGTAGAGAGTCTATGCGGGTCGGCCTGCATAATCTCCGATGGCTCTGAGCGGTCCAGGGAGTTTGGGCAGTGTCTACAGAGGGTCATGGGTTCTTTTGACATGGTGAGCATTTTGACAGTACCGACGGGTAAGATGGGGACGGTCTCATATATAGCCACCGAACTGTCAATTTATGTTAGGCTTATGATTGTTGTTGCCATGATTCATAATGATAAAGATGTACAGTATGCAGACCATGAAAGCCATAATAACCTACAGTTTGCCAGATCTTTAACACATCATTTTTTCCAAACCACCGAAAGTCAGATTTTTTATAAAAAAACATTTTTCCAAAGTTTTGG